AGTAACAAAAACACTGGCCTTCCCTGGAGACCCACTGCTCAGATCACACGATGCTGTGTTTGTGGGGTGACCTGTGGGGCTGGTGAGGGCACCTGCAGGCCTGGCACTCAGGCCTGAGACCAGCTGCTCCCGCAGTGCCCACAAGGAACTCAGCAGCACAGCCCTCACCAGGACACACACAGCTCCCCCACAGCCAGCATGATGCTCACAGAGAACATGCAAAAAGCCAGCAGTTGGGTCATATGTTTTCCCAATTCAGAGGAAGCCTGGCCCAGCTCCGATATCCCACAACATCTCCTGGTGTTGGGAGAGGGGGGTGGAAAAGTCGAGATCCATTTATAGCTGGAAAGTCTAGCAGAGGGCTCAACGTTGGGTGGAAAAGCAGGAGCTGACAGCTCCGTACAGTCAGCTCCACCCAGCTGGAGAGGAGAGGCAGGCTGGGGAAAGAGACAGGGCTATGGAAACCTCTTTCCTTCAATTTGGGGGTGATGGGAGAGAGGTGGCTTCCCTATAGCGCCAGGAAGAGAAAAAACACTCTCTACTTCTAAATTCAGTAAAAGAAGCAGGGCAGCAGAAGACTAGCTTTGGAAAAACTGAAGAGTAGCTATGCTGCAGATACAGCCAAAAGCACTCAGAGGTCAAGCCCAGGCTGCAGGGCTCTGCAGCCTTCCTGTGAGCCTTCATCACATCCTGCAGCAACACACCTTTATCACAGGGACAGGGCTGTCTGGGGGCTGTGATTGGGAACTCAGCCCCACATTTACTGCTGGGAGAAATGGCAGCTCCCTCACTCCAGCATATTTACATCAGCCAACACATCAGCAGATGTAGCAGAATGTCCTTGCCAGCCCTCATGGAAAAAGCTTGGCCCCGAGGACAAGGCACCAGTTTAAAGCATCAGCATGCGCAGACTTATTCTGTGATGACTTCAGCTCCTCCCCATGTTGTCAGGCATGAGAGGAGAGGTATTTATGTAGCTAACCTAATTTAGCTAACAATTGTGCATGTTCATAAGAAAATTATGAAAAATAACCACTAAAACAGTGTTGAAGAACACAGAGATGATGAGGCTGTAAGAAAAGCAAACACAATTCTAGGCGAGGCAGTGAAATACCAGAGCTATTGTACAGGCACTGATAAAAGAAGCATCGTGCAAAAAAAATTCTGGTCACCCGCATTTAAAAATTATAAACTCAAATGAACAGGTGCAGAAAGGGCCTGAGGGAAACAAAAAACCTATCAAACAAGAAGAAACTTAAGAGCCTGGCTTGTTTAGCCTAGGCAAATGTAGGCAGAGAGCGGATAGGATTGCTGTCTAAATATATCACAGGAGACAAACAAAAGTGCTGAAGCAAAAGTATAAAGCTGGCATGACAACAAGAGAATAAATGCAGTGAACACATTTAGGTTGAAAATTAGAGAGAGAGGAAAATCAACCCTTAGGACAGGAAGCTTTCCAACTGGAATACCTGGATTTAGAAAGAATTTTATCAGAGGTCTCATGGGGTTAGAGATACAGTGCATGTGCCCACAGACATCCAAGAGGGCCTTTGTGCTCCTGGTTTTGTTCCAGCTGGTAATTAGCATGGGTCATTACTGAGATGTCTCTATTCATGCAACAGACTTTGCTGAGTATCCAACTGGAGAGCCCAGGGCAAGCACGTACTGCTCCTCTGCCCTCCCATTTCCTAAGAGCTGCTCACAAGTAAGGACTTCCAGGCTGGAGGTCAGTGGGAGAGAGTTGTGTGGATGCACACGGGCAGAGTGAGAGCTACCAGGCAGCCTGGAATGCAGGTGTTGCAGTTAGCAGTGGAGAACACCCTTGATGTGTCTCTGCCCAAACGCACCTGCTGCCCCACGGTATCAGGGACAGAGATTGCTCACTGTCACCCTGTGGGTTCAGGAGAGAGAGCTGTTCCAAGCTCTGCTCTGCTGCAGTGTAAGACAAGGAAACACGTCATCACTGGTTATCAAGAATCACAGAATGGTTTGCATTGGAAGGGATCTTAAAGACCACCTTGTTCCATCCCCCTGCCATGGGCAGGGACACCCTGCACCAGACCAGGTTGTTCAGAGCCCCATCCAACCTGGCCTTGAGCACTCCCAAGGATGGGGCACCCACAGCTTCTCTGGGCCTCCTGTTCTGGTGCCTCAACACCATCAGAGCACTTTCATTATTATCACTATCACTATCATTATCATTCTCGACCCCCAAACTGCAGCCCAGCAGGGCAGCAAGTACAGGCACAACAGCAAAACAATGTTCAAACTGTGAATATTTATATTATGGAATAATGAGGAGGAAAAAAAGGAAGAGGGTGAAAACAAACTCCAAACTCTATTTCAGGGATTAATTTTTGACATGTCTGTGAAAAGCCAGAGCCTCATAGAAGACCAAATTATAATTTTCAGACACGGCACAGACGATGACACGCGGTCTGACCTGTCCCAGGGAGCCCAGCAGAGCGCTGCGCACACGAGAAGCAGCGGCCCCGCTCCTGCCCGCGCAATTCCCGCACAGTTTCCGCACATTCC